GCCAGTTCCGCCCGGGCTCCCATGGCTCCTCCCGGCGCCTTCGGACACCTGAGCCTGGCGCTGGGCGCCGCCGTGGCCGCCCTGGGCTCGCTCCTCTTCATCGCCTGGAGAACCTACTTCCCCGGCGGCGGCCGCTGGGGGGCGCGCTGGGAGCCGCCGCTGGCCGCGGGGCAGGTAAAGCCGGGGGGGGTCTCTGGGACCCGGGCCCGGGCCCGGGCCGGGCCGGGGGCCCGCCCCCCCCCCCCCCCCCTGGTTCCCTGCCAGAAGCAGCTGCAGGGCGCCAGCTCTCTGCCCCGGGACAGCGGCGGCGCTGGGCTCCCTGTCCGCGGGTGCAAAGCCGTGCGCCCCATTGCCAGGGCTGGGGGCACCTCCCTTCTTCCCCGGGGAGCCGGTCAGTGGCTGCGCCCCCCAAACCCGCTTCTTTGCAGCACTGGGTGAGGGGCCCCCTCAGCCCCCCTCCCCCGGCCCTGTCTGCATCCCACAGAGCCCACACGAGGCGTTTTAGCGCTGGGGCAAGCAAGCATAGTTCTGCCCCTGCCCGTCGTTTCCGTCATTTTTCCGCCCAGAGATGGGGGGAGGTGTCATGTGTCCCCCCCCCAATTTTTTGTATTGCACCCCTTGACCCAGACAGGCTGGGTGGCCAGCTAAGGTGAGTCAGGGAGTGGATGTGGTGCCCCTTCCTCGAGCCCCCCCATGCCGGGCTTTACACATCACCTGTTGCCACCCGGTTTTCTCGCCCTGTCTGTGGCTTTGCACCCTGGGTGCCTGCCCTGCTTCCCCCCACGCTGGCATTTTGGTCCTGGCATTCAAAGGGTTAACTGCAGAGCAGCCTGGGATACCTACTCTGCTGGCGAGCTGGGGCTGCTTCCTGGCTGTGGCAGCCGGATGTTGCTATAGCCTGGCATCAGCCCCCCGCTGCCTGCCCCACTGCAGCAACTCCCCTCCTCCCCGCACCACCAGTTACGGAAATGGCATCAAGCCCCCAGGTGGTGCCAGGCCAGGGCGAGCCCACAAGGCACATCCTGGGGCAGGGAGAGGAGGGCACCTGAGCTGGAGACTGCAGTTTGATGTTGTGGGGTAAACCTCCTCGCTATCCACCTGTGTCAGGAAGCCCTTTGCTAGACCCCCGGGATAAAGCTGCTTGGCATCCCCCTGCCATAACCTGTGGACCCCAGGGGGCACAATGTGCAGGGCTCCAAGCTGCCAGTGGGTGGCACCGGGCCCTGATGTTGAATTGTGGTTCTTGCAGGGGACATGGGGCACCATGGGGCCACTTCCTTTGCTTGGGCTTGGCCCAGGCCTGGGCAGCACCTCTTTCAGTTACCTGGGAGAACGCCGCCCTTCCCTTTCCAGGGCCCTGCATCCACCGCTCCTCCTAATTCCAGCCCCTTGCTCTCCTGGCAGCTGGATTTCTCCATGCGGCAGGCCCTGGTGCTGGGCCTGGAGGGAGCTGGGAAGAGCAGCGTTCTCCACTACATCTCCAGCGAGGCAGCCAAGGACCGCACAGCCCCCACCCAGGGCTTCAACTCAGTCCAAGTGTACGCAGACGGCTTCCAGATCGACCTGCTGGAACGTAAGTCTGGCCCTGGGCTCCCTTGGCGGGGTGGGGGTGACCTCTTGCCGGAGCAAGGAGCTTTTAAACTAGTCCACAGGGCTGGCCCACCTGGAGAATCCCAGCACTCAGAGCCACCTGCCCGGGAATTACCTTCAACTCCATGTTTGTCTCGGTCACCAGCTGCTAGAGCGCCTGTGTAGGTCAGGGCCTCTCAGTTTGGCTAGAGATGCCTAGGCCCCTGCGCACTGCTTCTCCCCCACTGCAGGAGGGAGTCTTGTCTCCTTCCTGATGCCACCAGGAAACACGTTTAACAAAGCACCCCCCCACCCCGTTTCCCATGTCTTCTCCCCCGTTTAAGCCTGGGATGCAGGGCCCCAGAAATGCTCCCCTGACCCCTCCACCCCCCATTCCTGGGCTGGCTGCGTAGTTGACTTCTGGCTCTTTATGTCTCAGTTGGTGGCAGCCAGAACCTGCGATTTTACTGGAACCAGTACCTGAGTCAGGCCCACGTGCTGGTGTTCGTAGTGGACTCTGCAGACAGGCCACACCTCCCCGCAGCCCGACAGGAGCTGCATTGGCTGCTGGCTGAGGATCCTCGGTTGCCCTTGGTCGTCCTGGCCAACAAACAGGTCAGAATCTCAGCATCTCGTCCCTCTGGGAACTTGTAAGGCTCTGGCTGGCCAGGGACAAGGCAGTTGTAGCAAAGGATTTTCAGACCCCTGAGGCAGGGCTGCTTGGGCCCAAAAGGGGACATGTGAAGTCCAAGAACTAAGGACCCTCACAAACCTCCCCACCTCTGCTCAGACGGCGCTCCAGTACTGCGGTATAAGAACCAACGTAGACTAGAAAGTGAAAGGCATCTTTCTTTGGCCTCGCCTTTGCTAACGTGTGTGTACACAATACGTATAGAAAATCCTCAACAACCCCTTCTCCTGCACACACTTCTGCCCCCGGGGAGAGGATGAGAGAAGCCCAGGACAGAGGAAATCCCAGTGCTCAGCTTGGTATAAGAACCTGTATAGAACAGAATTTAGTTCAAGCAGAGAACTCAGACCTCCAGCTTTCTAGCTGGCACCACTGTTTGTTGTTCTTCCCCTGGAAACCACAATTTATGTAAATGACCTCAATGCAAAAGGGGGCTGAGGCTCACCTAATCTGCAGTCCTCTGGCCCAAGCAGCACTCTGAGCGGCACAGTCCGGCTCCCCCTACACTGCAGGGATCCCTTCTAGTTCTTGGGTTCTGAAGCTATGCCCAAGTGCAAACCCATCGCTTTCTGGGGCCACCTTTCCCACAACGAACAGGCGTCAGCCCCGGCAGCCCCATCCATGCAGGGCCCTGCCCAGCCCGAGCCAGGGTGCCCGCTGCGTAGCCCTGTCGGAAGGGGAGCTGCATGGGTTAAGGAGCTGGGTGACACCATTCAAACCCAGCTGGTCCTGGTTTCTCCTAGGACAAGAGTGATGCCCTGAGTGTGGCTGAGCTGCACCGGGAGCTGGCCCTGCACACGCTGAACGAACAGAGGGAGTTCTTCCTGCTGCCCACGAGCGCCACTCATGCCGCGCTAGCCACTGCCACCAGCATCCGGCACGTGAAGAGTCTGCTGGTGGAACTGCTCTCCCAGCTCTGATGTGCTCTTCACACCCCAGGGACAGGCAGGTTGGACTGACCCTGCTGCTGCTCGTGTTTGTCTGGACTGGAGCCTGCTGGCTCTGCACTGACGGGCCAGAGCCACTCTACTCCCATGCTGCTATTCCCCATCGGGTTCTCTATGCGCCCCTTTGGGGCCTATGCAAGCTGCCCACAGCTGGCCGGCCCAGTCATGGATCTGTGGCGAGAGGGGAGAACAGCCTTTGTCCCCTGGCAGCTCAAGGGCGGAGTCTCCCGCCTCTAGATGGGGCACAGTGATGTTTACACACAATATCCCCAACCCCCCGCAGCAGGGGCGGATGGGCACCATTCAGCCTGGTGCACGTGGCACGAAAGGGCCCACGCAGTGCCACAGCCCGTAAAGGCCCTGCTGTTTTGCAGCCCAGTTAGACGGTTGTGCCCCAGGTAAATGACATTTAAATTGACAACTCTAATTGAAGGATGCGCAGGCAGGCCCGGTGGCTGCTTCCTGGCCCAGGGAGGGCAGGCGATGGGGCAGAGGAGAGGCCATAGGAGCTTCTGCAACGAGGCTCTTCTCTGGCAGGCAGCAGTTGTCTTTCCAGGGTGTGAAGGGAGCAGAATCCCCCATGCGGCCGGGGCTGCTGCAGGGGACAGATGGGGTAGGTGCCTGACAGACTGAGGCGCTGGTGCCAGTCCAGCCTCCAAGCAAAAGGCTGCAGTGGGTGCAGTTACTTCCCTGCACTCACACACGCACCCCCGCAGTGAGGAAAGGCAGTCGCGGCACCTACCGGCCTGTAATGGGCCCGGAGCAAAGCTCCACTGGGAGAGTAAATCACCCCCAGCGTCAGTGGCTGAAACAGGGTGGGGCAGGGAGCCCTGCCAGAGCATGGGCGAGGGGAAGGGGGAGGTGCCTTGCTGGGAGACAAGGGAGGGGCAGGCACCTGCTGTTACACAGGAGGGGTGCGTGCGTCTGCCCTTTCCTGTCTCCAGCTGCGTAAGGGCCAGGTGCTTCCCTGGCTTGTAATCCCAGCCTGCGTGTGGAAGAGGCCATGGGTAGGGTGGTCGGCCTGCCCCACGCTCCGCAGGAGATGGGTGTAGAAGGGGAGAGAGGCGGTTTCTGGAGCTGGTTAGATGCTCCTCGGGGAGTGACTCTTCCCCAAGCCGAGCAGTTGCTCTGTTTCCTGCTACCCCCATTCCTTCCCTTCGCCCTGTGTTAAGAGACGGGGGGGGCAGGAGCCGCCACTGGTGCAGCGCTACTTTAATGCATTCAGGCCGTTTGCTGCTGCCAGCCCCAGGGCTGGAATTGCAGAAGGGCAGAGGCAGAGGGATCTGGTGCGGTGCGGGGTGAGCAGAGCCCAGAGGCTGCGAGCTGCTCTCGGTTACCAAGGGGATGACACCCTCCTTGCTGTACCACTGAAGAGCCCCTGGGAGGGACAGGGGTTCTCTAGGGCCAGTGATAGTCAGCCTGAGGCACAGGAGCAGCACGTGGCTCTTTGCAGCACCTGATATTAAAACACTGATGTCGTGATTAACCAATCAGGATGCTTTTACTAGATTAACCAATTGCAGTTGATAAAATACTTGGTCAGTCGTTTTGCTGTGAGAATAATCGATAAAAACTAAATATTTCCTTGTCAGACTGTTTAAATATGACTAGTACGATAGTAAATGGAACGATGAATTCACACGACTGTGGCTTTTGGGGTACCGCTGATCGCTAATCTGGCTCCTGACCCCCGGAGGCCTGAGTATCACTCTGGTAGAGATAAGGGCAAGCGTGCGTCCCGGCAGGTGAACGTGTAGCACTGGGGAAAGGCTGCACCCTGCCAGCCTCTCCTCCCACTCCCAGGGCTGCTGTTCCGAGCAGCCAGCAGCAAAGCCCTGTGGACTCCTGCATGGGGACTGTGAACAATCCCGCCCCATGGCTGCACTGGGCAGGGGGCCACAGCACCACCCGTGAAGAACCAGAGCAGTTCCCAGAATGAAGACTTCCTTGGGTCAGCGCCGGCTCCGCACAGTGCAGGCAGGAGCTGGAGCCCTGGAGCCAGCTGCACTCGGGTGTATTCCTGCTGGTTTGGAAGAGTCTGATTTATTGTAACTCGGAGCTGCAGGACACAAGAGACGGTCTCTCCCCAGCAGCCTGCAGCCACACGGAGGAGCCCGTTCTAGCGCACGCTTGTTCCCACCTCCTAGTTCAGTGAGCCCTGGCCTGCAAACGGTGAAATGGCACCAGCAGGCAGAGTCAATCTTCCCTTGGTTGCCTGGGGAGTGGCAGCATGGGACCTGCAGCTGTGGGTGGGTCCAACAGGGCAGGGTGGGAGCAGTCACTGCTGGTCCATCTTGACCTGCTGCAGGGATGCAGTGAAAGCCTGGAACTCCTCCGGGTAGAAGCGCTTATACACACTGATCTTCCTCTTGATCTGCTTGGGCGTGTCCTGGTAGTAATTCTTCTCATCACGAGCCATGTCCTGGGGGTGGGGAGAGGGGACCGTCAGGGAAGCTGCCTCGCTGGGGGCTGGATGGAGCAGACATCCAGGAGACCCCCACAGCCCAAGAACGAGCACCTCCACAGCCGGCTGCACGCAGCACAGGGTTGGCACCTCGAGCCGCCCACCCGACTCCACTCACAGGCAGGTGTGGTTAGAGGTTGGGTGAAGTTTCATGCAGCCCAAAGGTGACTCAGAGGCAAACCAGGAGATTCAAAGAGCCACTTCCCTGACAGAGCTGCCAGACTGGGATGCAGGCTCCAGGGCACGGAACACCTCTGGCTGCTTCTCGCCGCCCCCCCCCCCCCGGCTAATGATGGGGTTGCCCTGTCGCTCTCCCACTGGCCACAAGCACTGAGGCAGAGGCTCCCAGACACCTCCTCCGACCCTCCCCCCGCAAAGGCAGGGACCACCCACCTTGTAGTTCTCGCCATGGTTCCGTACCATGTACTGCACATAGTCGATAAGGTCTCTGGAGAGCGTCTCTGACTTCTTCTCCGGGAGGCTGGCCTCATACTCCAGCTCTAGGCACCGCAAGCAGAGACACAGTGACGCAGGCAGACAAGAGACAGAACCATGCAGTGTTTCTAAGGACCCCTGACCTGGTATCTGTGGAAATGAGACTGAGCCATCGTCACTGGCAGTGGCTGGTCTATCTCGGGGACACATCCCGCATTAATGGCCACTCCCCGTTCGTGGCGGCAGAGACACCAACACCTAGTAACCCGCAGCACTGCAGCTCAGTGGCTTAGAGCAGAGAACACGCCTTCGAAGTTCCCAGACTCAAGGCCGCCTACCACACGTGATGTGTGTCTGCCTCATCGGCTCAGTGGCCAGCTCCAGTGCTCAGATCTGAGAGCAGGCAGGAGGGTTGGCATGAAGAGATATGCCCTGGCTGGGGGATCAGAGATAGAGCGATTAAATCCCAAGCCAGGGACAGAAGCTGGCAGGGCCTTTGACGCTTTTGCCAGAGCAGACACTTTGAGGGATTCGGATGGTGACGTTCAGGGGCTAATGACTCCTAAACCCAGCTGGGCCAAGGTCCAGCTCACACATCACTATGGGACAGAGTCTCCCTAACAGCCTGTATTACACGAGGCGCAACTGTCATCTCCCACCTCACAGCCACACGCTACTACGTCTCAGAGGACTCAGAGGGCTGCAGGAAGCTTTCCAGGATGCTCCTGGGGGCTTGTAGTCCTGCTACAGAAACCAGCTTTCACCCACCCCCTTTTTGATAGGGCAACAAGCCAACAGGCTTTGCCTCTTCCTTTCCTTGTTGCAAAGAGCACCAGAGATCAGTGGGTCTCTGAGAACGATCAGAGCTCTCCCTGGTGAGAAGGAACCAAGGCAAGGCCCAGAGGAGTGGGGAGGGGAAGTGGAATCCATCAGACAGATCCTCCCCTAGGGCACAGAGCAGAGAACCTGAACCAGTGGTAGCTCCGCTCGAGGAACAGGGGTTGTTGGCTACTTGAGCTCCCTCTGCTGGCTGCCCCCACAAGCAGAGAGTTCTAAAGCCATGTCTGACATCTGTGGCAAAGCAGCAGCTCCAGAAGAATAAATGGCAGAGTCGTGGCACAGCAGGGATCCGTAATCCTTGGCTGAAGGGTGCCTACTGCAACAGCCAATACCCAAGCTTTGCCCAATTGAGGGCAAGTTACCAACCCACCCAGGAGCCTGAGAGCGGCACCTCGTTCGCAGGAAACGAGCACAGTGGGAACTGCAGTGCCCAGAGGCTGCAGCTCTGCTCTGGAGGGCTGCAGTGGCCAGCAAAGCGAGCGCTCTTCGAACCAGAGGAGGGTGGTACCAACCGTCCAGGACGTAAGGCTTCTGCACAACTCTCTTCCCTTTGTCTTGGCCATCAACCTCCATTTCCATCACCTGCATTGAATGGGAGACGAGACAGCTCAAGAAAACTCCATTCACCTGGGGCTCATGCATTCAGACATGGCTTTGGAGGCTGTTCCTTCCCCAGCCAGCTGTTGCACCACTGACCGTCTTAAACACATTTCCTAGTCCATGTAACTACGACCACCTCGGCGTTTGAAAAGCCTCATTTACCCTTCACTTCTTATGCAGTTTGGCTGGCCTAGAGTCACTGCCCAAGTTGAGGAAATGCCTATGTGAACATAGATGCTTTCAGGTTCTTGATCACAAGCCCGGTGACAATATTTGCTAGGGCCAAGTTTGGCCTGACAGCATCTGCTTTAACAAAGAGGGGGACTGATCACTGCTTTCTGCCCCTCTGAGCCAAGTGAAGCATCTCCAGGCTAACCCCACTGCCCCTGGCTAATGAATCCCCAAGGAAAAGACTCAGGAGCTCCTTGCACATGCGCGTAAGCTCTCCCTGCATTGCCACTCCCAGCCCTCCACACACACACTCACTAGAGAAAGAATCAAGATGGCAGACCTCACTGAGTCCACACACCAGGGACCAAGGCAGGGCACGTTTTCTAGTACCTTGTCCAGTCTAGTTAGGGGTCTCCTATTGTGACTGGGCATCCACCAGTGCCCTTGGAGAATTGTCACCCATCCAAGTTGGGGAGTGTTGCCAGATAACCCAGCTGATGTTTTCCCTTATGTTCATTTCCACTCCTTGGGCCCCCTCTTGATCCACGGGGTTTAGCCTCTTGGGAGAAGTGTAAAAAGCAACAGAGAGTCCTGTGGCACCTTTAAGACTAACAGATGTATTGGAGCATAAGCTTTCGTGCTCCAATACATCTGTTAGTCTATAAGGTGCCACAGGACTCTCTGTTGCTTTTTACAGATCCAGACTAACACGCCTACCCCTCTGACACTTGGGAGAAGTGTGTTTCTCTTATGCTGTACTTACCGGTAGCTGCCTTTTCCGGATGGGAATCGCCTTGTTGGGGTCTGCAGCCAGCCCCATTTCAGCCAGGTTCTGAGACACGGACTTGGTTCTGTCCCACGCATGTCTGATGTGGGAGCTGGCCAGAGACAAAAGAGGGAGGAAAGTGGCGATTTCACACCCATCCCCACATCAGTCGATGGCCCATCCATGCAGTAAGAGCCTTGTTCCCACTACCTGTGTCTGGCCGGAGGGAGCCTCAGGAAACCCCACACTTCCACCCCCTCTGGGGCCAGGGCAGACACTCCCAGGAGCAGGGTCTTTAATTCTCCTGCAGCAGCGGTGACCCCTTTATGAGGTGGCTTGCACCCTAGTAGGGGAGGGCTGTCCTGAGGGGTGCAGCCTCCCCCCGACCCACTGCACGGCCTAACCAGCGATGGAGTCCAGAATACTGCCCACTCTGCCCCACGGCAGGGACCCACCCTCTCCCCTCGGTCCAGATCCCCCCGCTCCCCCCCAGTCCCTCCTCCTCCCCCCCCCCCCCGACCCGCTCCTCTCAGCCCCTCCTCCCCCCAGCTTCGGCCCGGCCCGCTCCCCCCTCCCAGCGTTTCCTTCCTCCCCCCCAGCCCCTCCCCTCGGTCCAGATCCCCCCGTTTACCCCCAGTCCCACCTCCTCTCCGGCCCAGGTTCGACCCGGCTCCTCCTCCTCCCGGCCCGCTCCGCTCCCCCCAGCCCCTCCCCTCGGTCCAGATCCCCCCGGCCCGGCCCGGCCCGGCCCGCTCACCATTCGATACGGGGCGCCGCCCGCTTGCGGCTCTGCCGGTTCAGCCGCTTGCGGTTGACGCTGTAGCCGAACTTTTGGCGCCGGTTTTTCCCTTTGGCTTTCGGCATCGCGGCGGCTCCGAGCTCACGCGGCCGCAGTCAGAGACCCCAGGGCCGCCGGGCTGGGCCGAGCGCTGGGCGTGATGGGAAATGTAGTTCTACTGTGAGGGCTTCCCTAAGACCTTCGCTAGGGTCTGGTCTGGTGTGGACTACATATCCCAGAAGGCCTTGCGCTCACTCGAAGGGCTGCAACCGTAGGGCCTGCTGGGATATGTAGTCCCACGGCTGCAATTGACTTCCGTTCCAAGTACGGTGGCTGAGGAGGCTCCTTGGCAGTCACCTTCCTGTGCTGCTCGCGGGAGTGGTGACCATGGCTCAGAGCTCCCCGCCGCCCTTTGACCCCAGCAGCCCCCCCCTTATCGAGGGCTTCATCCCCACCCCCCTGCACCGCGAGGGGTTCCGGGACAAGTTCCTGCGCAAGAGCCGCGAGAACCCGCTGGTGCCCATCGGTGAGTGGGTCTGGGGGGAGCGGGGAGCCGGGGGGGCGGGAGTGAGGGGTCTGGGGGGGCAGGGGGAACTGGGGGGCGGGAGCGAGGGGCTGGGGTGGGTGGGTCTGGGGGCAGTGGGAACGAGGGGTCTGGGGGGGCGGGAGCGAGGGGCTGGGGTGGGCGGGTCTGGGGGCAGTGGGAACGAGGGGCCTGGGTGGGACAGAGTGCATTAGAGGTGAGGGGGAAGGTGTGGCATGGGGGAAGCTAGGGGGCTGGGTGCCTGTTGGGGTGTGGGGGCATATCTGAGGGGAGTGGGGAGCTAGGAGTCTGGGGGAGGGGGGTCCAGAATCAGGGGCAGGGATGACGCGAGGACGAGTAGGAGGAAGCGGGGCTGAGTGAATACCCTTCCCCATCCCATCAATGAGGGGTTTGGGAATGCTCAGGAAATGGGACATAACCCAGGGAGAGCCCTTGGGGTGGCCCTCTCCTGCCGGACGGTGTTATCCAGTGCCTACTAACCCTGCGGGCAGGGAGAGGGAGGTGAAGCAGGGGAAATGGGGTGGGGAGGGAGGAGACATTGAGGTTTGGGGGAAAGGGGTGGAGTGAGGGGTGACCCACAGGGGCCCTGAACCCTGCCCCACAGATCTCAGCCTACTGCCCCCCACTAACCTCCCACTGTTGTCCCTCTCTGTAGGCTGCCTCTCCACTGCAGGGGCTCTGACCTATGGACTCATTTGCTTCCAGAAGGGCAATACCCACCAGTCCCAGCTGATGATGCGGGCCCGTGTCCTGGCTCAGGGCTTCACCATTGCTGCCATCATGGTGGGGGTAGTGGCCACAGCAATGAAAGCTCAGAAGTGAGGTCAGGCTGGCCATGAGCCGCAGCCTCCAGGAGTGGACAGACAACCTGTGCTTCATGTCGTAGAAATGCGCCCTTTGGCTGCTCTCATCTTGCTGGGGGACCAGCTCAATGGTGGTGGTGGTGGAGCAATTATTAAAGATCCTACTGGGTTCTAGAGTTTTGGAAATGCAGCGAATACACCTGAGTGATTAAACCTAAAACTTGACCTGCGAGATTTCTTGACTCCATGGGCACTCATCCTTTCCTGGGGGACCCACAGGCAGCATCAGGATAAGGCCTCTGTCTCTAGCACCCAGCATTATTAATGGCCGTTGGACCCATTGCCTTGGTGACCCCCATGGGGAAGGGGCTGTGCTGAGGCTTAGGCAAATCAAGTGATGCACCTTTCCGGGCAGGGAGTGGGAGAAAGAGAGCAGTCCCTCTCTCTGGGGCTAGATCCTGTCTAGAGAGATCACATCCCATGACCAGGGCTTGTCTGGAGAGAATGGGTGATCGATTAGGTTACCAACCATAAGCCAACTACACCCGTGCTTCGTAAAGAGAAAATTGCAGTGAGATTCTGATCAGGACATTGAATTCCAAAGCAGAGGGAAATTGTGAAGGGTTCTTGCGTACTATGGTGGTGGGGGAAGGAGGGGGAAACAGGTAGAGAACCACTACCTTGCTGCTGTAGTGATGGAGATTAGGACACAGGAAATGTAGCTTGCTGTTAGAATGTGTGAAATTGGAGGGTTTCAAAGGTGGGGTCAGATAAGGTCTGTGGTTTTTTTAATAATATTTTGGTTGGAGTTTAGTTTCACAGCAGTTAATCAACCTTTGTCATGAACTAGAACTTCCTGTGTTCTGAGTCTCTAATGCCCAACGGGAGCAGTATTTTCTCCTGTCTTAACAAACTTCCCAGCAGGAGACTCCATCTGAAAGCTCTCCATGCATTAATTGGAAGGTATTTAGTATTAACATTGAAAGATGGGGAAAAACCCAGATAAGGGCAAAAATCTCAATGAATAAGGATCCTCCTTTAGCAGATATTGATGTAGCTACAAAGTATTATAAAGAATCTTTGGTCTTCCTAGGTCAGACATGCAGAGCTGGGGTGGGAGGATTTAATGAGAGGGAGGGAAATGGTCTGTTGAATCTAATCATCGTATCTGCTGGGTGTAGTTCTCCCGTCCTTCCTTTTGGCAGCTGCATAGTGCAGGACTCTGATGGAGAAAGGCAGAAAGCAGATGGTATTGACAGCACCAAACTGGTGGCTGGGGTCCTGCATTGAGCAGCTGACAAAAGGAAGGATATGAGGAGCTACACACAGCAGACGCGATGATCTAAGCAGAAGATTCGTGCCATGAGGGCGTCTCCATGCCATATTGTGTCCAGGGAATCTTTGTGACTGGGGAGGGTCCCAGCTTGCCTCTCAGATCCCGGGAGGTTTGCTGCCCTGTACTCGTAAACAGAGCCAAATGGCCTAGAATCTTTGAGACACTGAATGCGGAAGCCTATGAGGGCAACTTCTCTGAGTAGAATAAAGCTACTTGGAGCTGGACAGAAGGAAGTCAGAGAACAAAGACTCCCATCACCCTTCCCCTGGCCAGAGCCCAGGGGCTTGCATTGGCCATTTGGATGGACAGGGTGTTTTGTTTCAGTCAAGGGCGCTGTGGCTTTGGATCTCGGCCCAGGAGGAAGGGATTGTGGGGTTAGTCTGACAAAGTGCCTTGTTCGTTTGCAATGTGGCGGGGCTCAGAGCGGTGGGGTTGGCTGATCTCACCCAGCCAGGATCTGCTTCACAATGGGCTGTTTGGATTGAAGGTAATGGGAGTTTCGCTATAGCTGACGCCCTAGCGTCAGGCATGCTGAGGTCCTTGTCTCTGTTGGGAATAAAGACAGCCAGGTCACGTGAACCTCCGCTTTGGAAGTAGCCCGTAGAGTAAATTCAAGCTAGAAGAGCAGGTCCTGTGCATGTTCCGCCCTGGTCCTGGGAGGTGGCTTGCAGGAGGCCGGTGCATTTGTATCTGATCATGTTGACAGGTGAAACTGTTTCTCTTCAGTTGGGTGGAGGCTGCTGTTAATAAACCTTCCTTTGGCTGAAGAAACTCCATGTCTTGGCTCTATCACTCGTGCTACCTCCAAAGAGGACTCTGCATTGCACAACTGGAGCTGACTTGTTTCAGGCCAGGGGGCAGCTGCTTCTACCATCCCATCCAGCAAGGCTCTGAGCCCCCCTCCCCTGGAGCCACGGGCCCAGTTCCGGGCGAGGGTCCGCACAACAAAAGCTACCCCAGATGCTGAAGTCTGAATGGAGCGAGACTGGCAATGTCTGCTCAGGAGAATCCAGCTGTGTGGGGGAAGCCCAACTCCAAACACGATCCCGATTAGCTCTCTGCTTCCTGGAGGCTCCGAATTCATCAGCCACCCTGAGCCGAGCTGAGCCCACAGCCACTGCTGGAAGTAAAGCTGCGGAATGAACCCAGCTCACTCCTGCTTTGCCTTGAGGTTGGCTCCCCTCCCTAAGGTCTCCTTTTAGCCCTGCTGCGAGCGAGGCCCCAGTCTGTGGAGTGCTTTGCGGGCTCAGCACTGCAGCTGCAGCGGATTCCCCCACGCCCGCTCAGAGACGCGTCAGCCTAGAAAGAAAGCAAGCGAGCGGCTGCTCCTTGGGCTGGGTTGGAGTCATGTCAGTTTATTTGTACAAGGTCACATATACCAAAGCTGGGGGGACACACAACAGCCAGAGCTGCCACCTGGGATGGAGGAGGAGCCGGGCCCTTGTCTGTAAAGCAGCAGCACCAGCTATCACCCTGGGGTCCTGCTCCCTGCTAGAAATGAGTGCAGGATGCCCGGGCCAGGCTTCCTGCTGGTAGGCGTACAAGGCAGGGTAGGGGGACTCTCCCATGGGCTAGCCGGGTGGCTTAGGCTCCCCAAGCCTGCAGAGGCTGGGCTACCACCCTCAGCCGCTGACACACCCAGTAATTAACAGACCAGCCTGGGAGCGGCCAGCACAGCCTGTGTGAAAGGAGGCATCGCTGTCACTGGCATGAAAAGTCAAGCCCACCCTCCATTCGTGCAGGTGCTAGGCCCAGTTTCAGGCTGCTGCTCGGCCGCTATCAGGGTCCTGGAGCAGGGAATCCCGGCCTGGCGTCCGGAGCAGCCACATCCTCCTGCCAAGAGCCGCAGCCCTAGACCTGGCCTAACCCACCTGAGCAGCAGGACTAAACTGGGGCCGGGTCTGCAGGGGAGAGAGGATCCCCTGTGCCTCACCCCATTGGCTGGAAGGGGCTCCTGGCTTTATGGACTTTGCCCTGAGCTCCCTGCCAGTGTCTCCTCCCCACCCAGCACACCAGGCTGCATGCCCTGTGCGAGGTCCCCGTGAGTGCTGTACCACACCTGACCCAGACCCTGCCCAAGGCGAATGCGGCCAGGACAGAGACGGCAAGAACATGGCAGGAGGCAGAGCCCCAGGGCGAAGTGGGTCTAGCGTGCCTGTCTGCTCTTGAGTGCAGAGATGGTTTCTGGGCTTCAGGCTCCCTGTGCTCGGAGCTGGATGGGGCTGCCCTGGCCCCACCAAGCACCTATTGACAGAGCAGGTGAGAAGGGGCTTGGGGAGGAAACTGAGCCCCCTCCTCAAAGGGCATCACTCGGGGGAGGAGAGTGGAGTCCCTTTAGCTGGCAGGCCAGGGGTGGGACAAAAGAAACAGCAGCAAAGGAACGCGCAGCCACAAGCCACTAGGCCAGGCTGCCTCAGCCGGTACCTGTCCCCACCCCAGGCCCTCCCCTTACTTTTCCAGGGCCCATCAGTTGCTCAGAGGCAGGGCAGAGTCCAAACACCAGAGCTAGAGTTTTTCCTCGGGGAGTATCAAGTCCATGCAGGGGTGGGTGGGTGGGCGGGCGGGCGGGGGTTTTCTCTCCCTGGCCAAGCGCAAACAGGGATCTCAGCCCGTGTCTCCTGCAGCAGGGGAGGGGCAGCTCTGCTTGAGCTCAGCACTCCCCTCCCAGCCACCTTCACATAGGAGCAGAGGAAGTGCCGGAGCAGCTCAGCCCAGGGGCCCATCTAGCCTGGTATCCTGGCTCCATGATAGCCCAGGAGCAGGTGCTCCAGAGGGAGGAACAAGGAGCAGTGGTGGAATAAGCTCCCCTAGGGGAGATGTCTCCTGAACCCTGACCTTGACTTGTCAAACCCATGGATGTGTCCTTAGCCTCTCCCCTGAGCCAGCCGCATGCCCAATCCCGTGAGCTCAGCCTCAGCACTGTCCTGTGGCAGAGAGTTCCCCAGGGCAGGGGTAGCCGCTGCCATTGCCTCTCCGGTCCTGCAATGCCAGAGACACAGACTAACAGTGGAGGAGGAGCTGGGGGTCATGCTCCTGCATGCTCTCAGCTCTGCCCTGCCTGGAGTGCCCCGACTGAGTTTTCCCTGGCAGCTTGTGTGCAGCCAGCCGCTGCCTCCAGCCGACGTCACACCTGTGCAGCCATGACCCGGCCCTGCCCCTCCCAGCGTCACAGCCACCCCCTGCAGGCAGCGCAGTGTCATCCCCCGTTACAGGCGGACACAGGAGGGCCAGGGTCCCATGAGGAGTTGGGATTAGAACCCAGGCGTCCTGGCTCCCAGCCCCATGCTAGGATACTAGACAATGCTGCCTCTCATCCCACTCTCACCCAGTGCCGTGGCCAAGAGGCAGCAGGGTCTGCTCCCACCGGCCTGGCTCAGCTCTCTGCCCCGGGGGAAGAAGCTGGATGGGTCTGAGGCAGAGATGGGAGAGTCGATGTGAGGGACGGCAAGGAGACCCCGGGATCTCTCGCAGTGTCAGAGGCCTGTGCCTGGCCTGTCGGCGTCGAGCTCCCTGCCCCAGAGGCAGCGGGGGAGGGAGCCCAGCCCTGTTGCCCAGGGAACCACCATGGTAATAAATAAGTGTAAAAAGAGACCAATGCACCCTTTAAGCAAAGGAAAATCAGGGGACGGTTACAACCAGCAACCCAACCAAACCAGCCACGCACACCAGGGAGCAAAGGGGGCGGGGGAGCGGAGGCAGGGGCAGCAGCGCCCCTTGCTGGCGTCCGACTGAACCTGCTGTGCTTGTCCAGGCGAGCCCGCTGGCGGAGGAATGGCCCGTGTCCTCCCCTGCCCCCCCCCGCTCTTTGGTCATGCTGGGCGGGCGGCTAGCGGGACAGGGGCGTCTGTTTGAGGGAAATGAGCACCGAGCGCATCCTCGACACGTCCTTCCATTGCTTGCTGCTTTTGGGGTTGAAGTCACACAGCTGGGCCACCTTCTCCCACTCCGTGCCGGGGTTTTCTTCCTTGGACTCCTTCAGGAAGACTTCCTCCGAGGCCCTGCGGGAGAGGGGGCTGCTGGGTCTCCCTCCTGAGACCAGGGCGGTTCCCGTTTCCCAGTGGGTTGGACCCAGGGGCTGCTAGACACCACACCTGCCCTCCCACCCGGTTCACCCCCATCGCCTCGCCCATGATCAGGCAACGCCCCCTCCTTCCGGGACACAGAGTCCTGGCTGGGCCATTCCAGAGCAAGCGCTTGGGGCTGCAGAACTAGGAGAGAGAGAGACCACAGGCGATCCGGGGGCCCCAGCCAGCTGCTCCCAGGAGAGACTAGCAGCCCGCCCCTTTGCTTTGGGGATGTGGGTAGCCCAGTGTCACAAACAACAGCCTCGGGAATAGCCTGGCCATTGCTATCCTACTGGCCTAGAGCCGCTGGGCTCAGCACAGCCAACCTGCCTGCCCGAGCCTGGGCCAGCCCCAACCACGCACACGCCCAGCTTGCAAACTATCCTCCCCGTCCAGCTGCTGGGCTC